ATGAATATAAGTAAATCTATGCTAACTAGGGATTGTTGGCTCATGCCTGTTATACCAGTACTCTGGAGGCAGGCAAAGAGGTAAAAAAAAAAAAAAAAAAAAAAAAAACCAAGAATGAAAGAAGAAAAGAGGGAAAAGGGTCCACATTAAAAGCTCAAATTCTTCCAATAATCCTTTATGGTTTAATCTTCTATAATTTCAAACTGATTCTGAATGGAGCTTTTCAAGGCCCTTATGTTTCAAAAGCTTTACTATTGTTCCATTCTACCTACCCCTGACTCTTCTACAAAATGATGAGTTTGGCATGTAGGCCAAGGAGATAGGCATAAATAGAGCCCAGGCTCTCTGCACTCACATGTGGTTACTATATGTGGGACCTATACATGCCGCCTTGTAGCCCATAGCTCCAGTACCCAAGAGGAACGCAGGATTCTCTTCATTGACTTAGTTCAAATGCTAAGACAATATACTCCCTTATTTAAGAGATTGGACCCATGTGATCAGTAAGGTATATAGGAAACAACAGAGCACACTATCAGGCAACGCAGCCAATGTCCTATAATTCCCATACCCAGTAACCTAAAACATCCCAGTAGGCCTCACTTCTTAAAAATTTTATCATTTCCCAATGCCATCACAGATTAAGGATGAAACCTTAAATACATACACCTTTGATATATATTTCAGATTCAAATTATAGCAGCAGAGTGGAAAGTACAGTTATGAACTCAAATAACATTACAAAGGAAGCAATGCCAGTCATGTCTAAAGGGAACCCCAAGATGACAGTTTTGGCTCAGCTTAAGGTGCACTATAGAAGGAGTGCTGTTTCTCTTTCATAACTCCCTAGGAACATGTGAAAAGGGTTCTGTCTGTCAGGAAGAGCCACATCCTTATTGACACTTGACTATGTGAATGCCTAAGCCACTGAGCTTCAAGTCAGTTCTGATTCACAGGGTTCACTACCCCCACCCTGTAGCTATCAGCTTCTCTTTGTAAACCAGGGAGGTTTTCCCTGCTCCTGCTCTTCTCTCTGTCCTTGCCAGTCTGCCTCCATCCTATCCTCTCTGCTCCTTAGAGGGAGTCATGGCTGCTTTGTACTTCTTCAAAGTCCTCTATTTTCCCCTCTCATTTCTATAATAAAAAAACCTTCCTCCCACCCATGGATTGGTCACTTTGGTGGATGGAGTCTCTGCCGCCTTATTGATACTGCCGAGATTTTTCATTTTCTGTTTACTGAAATATAGGTTTTACTTTAAACAAAAAGAAGTACGTTGTCAGAGATTCTATAAAGTACCCCTGTGTCTACAGATACCAAAGAATGCTGAAGTTAAGAAGGGACAGCTACACAAAAGCCAGACCATTAGCAAGCATTTCAAATACCTCATAAGAAAAAAGTACAGTGTATCTGGCTTAGATGATACAAATAAATACACGTGTAATCCGAACCTTTTAGAATTTCACTTACTATGGGGTGAAGTGATGATCATGTATAAAAAAATCAATATAAGCTAGGATGTGAAATGTGCTTCTATGTAAGTTGCAAAATGGTATTGAAACTAATTTAAGTAGCCTTAACTAAATGTAGAAACCAGATTCCTACTTAAAATACATGACTCTTATCATTTCCAATCCTTTACTCTGTTCAGCCATTTCACCCATTTTCCTTAAGCAGGTTTTAAAAGCAGATTTCTTCTTTTAAATTTCCTCTTTATTTCAGAAAACGTTCTGAACCTGTAAAAATATATGTAGAATATTATATCCATGTGCTCATTATCCAATGTAACAACTCACTTATAGAAAGAATTGACCTTCACTGTGCCTGTCCCCAGATGAATTCTACCTTTTGTTCCACAAATGTTAACCATTGTCCTTAATATGTAATTTACCTTCTTCATAATCCTTTCTGAATTCTGTTTGTACATCTATACATATATTTTTACATACATACATATGTATATATACACATATAAAATGATACAAACGTCATTCAGAAAGAATTATGAAGACAAATACCATATTAGGAAAATGCACACACACACGCGCGCGCACACACACACACACACACACACACACACACACACACAGGCCTTTCACCATAAACATAGTAGATATTGTATATTTCCCCAGTTTTTCTCTTTATCTGTGTTTCAAGGTCTTTGCACCTTTGTGACAGGACAAGATATTATGAAGGTTCTTACATCTTGTAGTCTTGCTGAGGTTATTTTAGGTTTAACTACAATTTGATTTCCTTGGTGGAGAATCCCATGGAAACTTACCCAACTCTGTTCAAGAAAACCAAGATCAAGACACCCCAGGTAACTTAGCTTCTGTTAAACTGCCTGCCTGTGCAGAACCTCCCCGCTCCAGCTGACTGATTATCTTAGCTTCTGTTAAACTGCTTGCTTTTGCAATGTTTCCCCGACCTGAGCTGCAAAATGAGATTCCAGGATGTCACTTTTGACTTTAAAAAATTCTTTCTCTAAATGCTTTGGGCCATACTTGGGCCCCATATGCCTGAGCTTAGTCCCAGCTGATTAGAATTAAGACTTTCAATTGACTATAAACTGTGTCTGGATAGTTATCATCTGGTGGGCTCGCCATCACACTTTAATGAGTTCAATGCTGTCCTTCACAGAGATATGCTGTAGGGGCAACTCTTGGAACCCATGGATGTGATCTAAGAACATTTAGATACTGGATAAAGGTAGACGCTTAATTCACTGCCTGGCACCCTGATAAAGAACAGACCTAGAGAGAGAGATACAAAGCGGGGAGTGTGGGGTGGTGGGAGTGGTGGGGGTGTGGAGGGTGGGGGTGTGGAGGGTGGGGGTGTTGGGGTCATGTGGATAGAGAAAAACATTTGGTACATTTGCAATTCTACAGTTGCCAAAAATTGGTGTCAACCTTTAGGAGCCAGCATAAAGGAAAGGACAAGCTTCCCCCTCAGCAGATGGAATGACTCTGCTAACAAGTTCATTGCAGATTTACATTTACTGTGAATGAATGAACTTCTATTGTTTGAAGCTACTCAGGTCATGACTTCGTTATGGTCACTCTGGGAAATGAGCACACAAAGGTCAAGGCCTTCAACATCTGGGCCCTTGGCTGACATTCAGATCACAAAGTTAGCACCTACTGAGTTAAAGAAGGCTGGTTCTACAGCCTTTTCCCCTATACCAGCAAACCAGTGGTGCCCCCATCCCATGGTTCTAGTGCTCAGAGCTCTTAGAGGATTCAGGAAAGCTTTTTTTTTTTTTTTTTTTTTTTTTTTTTTTTTTTATTTCAGACCGAGTTTCTCTCTGTGGCTTTGGAGGCTATTCTGGAACTAGCTCTGAGACCAGGCTGGCCTCAAACTCACAGACATCAGCCTGCCTCTGCCTCCCATGTGCTGAGATTAAAGGCATGTGTCACCTTGACTGAAGGTCTGCCTTAAGGATCTCGGATTCAGTAAGTCTGGAGTAGAGTCTAAGAATATGCATTCCTAGCTACTGTTGCTGGTTCACAGCTACCCATTAGTATTATTTTCTATCCTGGTAAGCTAGGTGCTTTTCTTTTTCAAGATGAGGCAAAACCAAAAGGATAAAAAAAAATCCATTAATATAAAACCACTGTAGTTGATGCAAAGTCAAACTTTTAGTATTATTTTCTATCCTGGTAAGCTAGGTGCTTTTCTTTTTCAAGATGAGGCAAAACCAAAATGATAAAAAAAATCCATTAATATAAAACCACTGTAGTTGATGCAAAGTCAAACTTTTATTTTTAACATGAATAACTGTAGTCCTATATATCTATAAAGGACCCTGTATAATCATATGTCTGTTAGTGACATTTTTGTATAATGAGCTTTAGAACAAAATCAATTTCCTAGACTACTAAAAATGAGAATACTGCTGAAAACGATTTCTTCTTCCTCCATCCACTTCCTTCTTCTGGACTTTGCAACTGTAGGGGGAAAGAAGCGACAAGCAACATTTGTATTTTCTTAACAGGCACTTCTGGCTTTCTTGCCAATCTATATATTGCCATTGTCTCTCAACAAGGAAAAACTAAAACACTTCCCTGCTATGTTTCTCAAAGTGATATTTAGTTATCAGAGTGCTCACGAGTTTGATAGCTTCCATAATCTGATCATATCAGCCTCATCATCCTACCATCAACCACTGTAAAGTCCTGGATTTTTTCTTCCTCTTTAACGGCTTCTCAGTGCACAAAACTTTGTATGTTTATATACCAAGCCTATCCATTCCCTTAGCCTCCCAGCTACTCAGATTTCATCTCTTTAAAAAGAATCTCATTTCTTTTATTATTAAAATCTTAAAACTTTAAATAAAAAATTAAAATTTGAAAAAGGTTTAAATGATTTTCTAAATAGAGATTCTCATCTCATTAAAATCAGGTGTCTAGAAATGGGGAAATTCAGAAAGACAAAAAGAGACAAAGATGAACATGGAAAATATACTGCCAGATTCCAAATTCAGTAAAAACAAAGTTTAATTTATTTTTTGTTTAATGTCGTTTTAAATATTAAAATAAAAAGTAGGCTGATAATTTATAAATAAATAATCAGATGTGCTTTTACTTGAAATATTTTTTCCAACTTGCATCAGCACTGTAAAAACAGGCACCATAAGAATAATACAGTATTTCTGTGGCCATATAATGCAGGTAGAATTTTTCTTCATGATCTTTTACTACCAAGTCTGACAATTTCCCATCTGTAGCAAGTAATCTCATAGTTATTCTACGGGGCTTGCATCTAGAAAGAACTGACTCCTGCTTAACACATGAATATATTATGGATGTTAAATTGTTTTAGTTTAACATTAAATGCATTGCATATTTATTTAAATGTAATATTTATTTCATGTAATATTTAATTTAATAATATGAAATTTTAAAAACTGTTTTGCTTACCAAGAATATCCATAAAAACATGAAGTTCTTAGTCACAGGGATATGTTAGGAAAGGTAACTTAGAATAGCCAGTACCTGCATTCCTAAGGCAGGGAGCCTTTTGCAGAATCCAGGTTCTTTTTTGACTCTCCTTTCGGTTCTTCAGTTTCATCTTCTTCCTTTTCCTTTGCAGCTTCTTCATCAGCATCTTCACACTCACATTCAATTGCTTCTTCAGATTCTACTGGTACAGGAACCAGGAAAGTAGGATCACAGAAGAAATAAAACATCTTACACTTATTTTCATTCTCCTGTAAGTCATACTCAGGAACAACTGGAGAATATAAACATGTGAGAAAAAGAAAGTACTTTAGCAACATGTCTATGATCCTGATGGGTCTTCACTCTAAACAAATTCTGCATGGTGACGTTTTTATTTCTATATACATAACTCCTTATTCATAACCCATGGGACAGAAGGGTATCAAAATCTCCAGTATGTTTGTATTTGTTATACCTTTAGCAGAATATCACCAACAAATTGCTAATTTGTCCTAAAAACAAACCACTAGCCTCTAGTTTTCAGACTGCCATTACTCAACCAGGTTGAACAAGCTCTGAGCATGTTGCGCATTTGAGAAAGATGTACCAACATAGGCAAAAGAAGCAGCAAGGACCAAAACTTCACTACCATTTTGTCATTCCTTATTACCTAGGGCTACACTAGTCCAAGTGATTTGGATTCCAGTCTTTTTTAGATACATGACTTCTTCTGCATTCAGCCTTTTATGCCTACAATTCTGACTTTGCTATTTGGCTATGTTCCTTGCCTCCCTACTGGGACCTCCTTTTAAAGACAAAAAGCCTAGGGGCAAAGAGAAGGGTGTAGGAGGAAAAGGAGGGGCCTTGGAGAGGAAAGACACTGGGGAGAGAGGAGGGGAGCAGGGATAAGGTGGAGGGGAAAGGAAGGGAGAGTAGGAGGGCAGATGAAGGAAGAGGAGAAGAGGAGAAGGTGAGAAGGAAGAGAGAGGGAAGGGAGAAGATGAGGGAGGGATGGGAAGAGGGAAAGGAGGAGCAGTGATAGACTGGGGTGGGGAAGGGGAGAGAGTGAGCAGAGACAGGAAGGAAGCACAAGGAGGGGGCTAGGAAGGGAACAGGGAGAGTGAAGTGAGGGGAAGATTGATTGACAGGGAAGAGAGGGAGGGGATGTAATGGGAAAAAATAATAAAAGTCTAAAAAGTTATACTCCAAAACCCATATAGGAAGAAGAAAATGTTCAAGCTCCTCTGAGCTCCCAGAAGGCAGCCTGACAGATAAGGCTAAACAAAGAACTGGGTATGTAACTAGAGGCCTGAGACCAGATAACACACCCCAACTGTGTCAACATTTCTCTGTCCTAAAGAAGACCAGACAGCCATCAATTTGCAGCTATAATAATCCCTAGCCCAGGAGATAATTAACAAACTTATTTCCCTTACAATATTTTTCTTAATTGTATCCTGCCCAAACATACAGTTATTGACTTGTCCAATGTAACCACAGCAGCTTTGTAATCTCAAGACTTTCAGTCTTGTGGACTTTCCCTTTTAAATCCCCCCTTAGCTGTAAGTGATATTCTGCTTGCTCCTGAGTGGGCAGAATCCAGGCTGCAGCATGCCAATAAAGAAATGTTTGTACTTGCATTCAGTGAGTAGTCTCCTTGATGATAGACTTTTTTGGGTCCCGAGAGTTGGGCCTAACAGGGAAGATACTGGAAAGGAAAGAGACAGGGAGGAAAGATGGTGCGGAAATCTAGGCAGTAGGGAAGTGAAGGGGGATGGGAAGAAGGAAAGAGAAAGGGGTGAAGGATGAAGGAGGTAAGGAATGAAGCAGGGATAGGGCAGGGAAGCTGAGGAGAGTGGAGGGAAGAAACCAAAGATGGAAAGGAAAGGCAAGAAGGGGGAGCAGGGAGAGAAGGTTCAAAGAGGGGGCCAGGGAGGGAGAGGAATCATACACCAGAAAGGAGTGCCAAAATGGGAGTGGGTGGAAGGCAGGAGAGCAAGAGGCATGGAAAGGGAAGTAGGGAGGGGAACAGATAAAGGAAAGGAGTATAAAGGAGAGCACAGGGGGGGATGGGAGCCAGCCAGAAGGAAAGTAAGAAATGGGGAGCAGGGATGGGATGGGGAACAGAGAGAAGAAAGGCACAAAAAGAGATGAAGAGAGGGGGAGGGGATCAGGGAGAGGTAAGGTATGAAAAGGGGAGGGGGAGCCGGCAGGAGGAGCAAGGAGAGGAAATAAATACAAAGAGAGCAGGGATGGGGATGGGAGCAGGGAGAATGCAAGAAAGGGGGATCAGGAAGATGGAAGGTACAAAAGGGGGAACAGAGAGGGGATGGTGCTGGGGAGGAAGGAGGCTAAAAGAGGAGCAAGGAGGGGGATAGTGCTGGGGATGAAAGGGACAAAAAGGAGAGCAGGAAGGGGGACAATGCAAATGTTTGGGGTGGATTGGATAGGACAGGTATTCTGGCACTCCGGAGACACAGAATACTGAGTGTTACAGCTCTTACAGCTGGGATAGACAGGTATCCTGGAGCTCAGGAGCCAAGGAATACCATAGGTCACAGTAAGAGTAGCAGTTTAAAGCCCTGCTTCAGGGAAGGCTTCCCCAGCTGGGAGGGTTTCCCAGATGTATCAGTTCTGCTTCAAGGGGAAGGCTTCCCAGTGCAAAAGCTCTGCTCCTACAGGAGAGGTTTACCCCAGTGAAATTGTAAGTTAGGCTCTGCTCTATAGAGTGCCTCTGCCAGTGTGGAAGGAGGCAGTTGGTCAGCCACAAACTGAACAGACACAGGGTTTCTTGGGGGATGGAATTTTTCCAGGAAGATTTCCAGAGTGGTGATTGGCCAGATTTCAATCTCTCAGTTTAGGATGGCTAGATCATCAGCTCAGAGATTGGTTGGTTTACTGCACAGGTTTAGGGTCAGATTTGGCTCTGGTTTCATTGCCAAAGTGTGTTTCTTTCACTGGTCCTTTTTAGCCTTTTGGCTCTGGTTTTAGGGCCAGTGTGTGTTTCTCTCACTGGCTCTGATTCCAGGGACAAAGTGTGTTTCTTTGCCACTGGTTTCAGGGTCAGGACACATTTCTTTGGTTCTGGTTGCAGGGCCAAAGTGTGTTTCTTTGACCTTGTTTAGGGTATGTTTCTTTGGCATGACCTTTTCCCCTACATTTCCCCCTTTTTTGTTTATTAATAAAAACAACTGGGGCTTGGAAAGGGGTCAGCATTATCATTAGACTACTTCATGCTGAATTTTGGAATCAAGGTTCATGGGACAATCTTCATCTTCATCATCAGGATGTGTCCAGGTTTGCAGTTATGTGATTGTTTAGCTAGGGGCTGGTGATCCTACAAGATCAACTGGTTGAAAGTCTGGTTAGAAATCCTTTGAACTTGTTGCTGAAGGAATCTAGACATGAAGTTTATAAGGCAGGGATTAGAAAGGGACTAGTAGGATTAAGAAAACAGAGAGAAGTATGGACTAGGCCTTCCCTCCTGCCTCTAGGTTAAGGGAGTATCCCTTAACTGGGATTGATATGTAAAATAAGAAAAATAAATAAATAAAAAATAAAACAGAGAGAAGAGGGGTTAAGAAAGGACCCACTCAGACCCCCTGAACATGGGTCTCAGTTAGAAGGCCTGGGCAGTCTAAGGGACCTCAGACAGTGGAACCAGGATGTATCCCTGGTGCACAAAAGGACTTTGGGAGCACATTTCCCATGGAAGGATACTCCCTTAACCTAGAGACAGGAGGGAGGGCCTGGTCCCTACTCCAAATGACTTGACAGATTTCAATGACCCCTCCTGGAAGGCATAGCCCTATAAGTAGAGTGGGGGGGTATCAGAGAGGAGGGTGGTGGTGGGGCATGGGAAGGTGGGAGAGAGGAAAAGAGGGAGGGAAATAAAACACACTTTGTCCCTGCAACCAGAACCAAAGAAATGCACCCTGACCCTGAAATCAGTGCCAAACAAACACACTCTGTCCCTGGAATCAGAGCCAGTGAAAGAAATAGGCCCTGGTCCTAAAATTACAGCCAAAAGGTTAAAAAGGACCAGTGAAAGAAACACACTTTAGCCCTGAAATCAGAGCCAAATCTGACCCTAAACCTGTGCAGAAAACCAACCAATCCCTGAGCGCTACAGCTAGTCAGACTGAGCTCAGCGACTGAAATCTGACCAATCCTAACCCACTCCCCTCAGAAAAACTCCACCCCCTAAGAATCCCTATATAAACCCTGTCTCAGTTCAGCTTGTGGCTGTTTTGTGGCTGTTCTGTCTCCTCAGCTGTCCTCTGCCACTCTCCTGGATTCTTCCCTCCCAATACATCTCTTGAAGGAGGTTTGGGTGAGACCTTCGGCCGGCCGCTTTTGCCCGAGGAGATACGCAGACACCACCCTGAGTCCAGCAGGCAAAGTGAAGTTGTTACACTCCACTCTCCTGGAGACTGGAGCCGAACTGTAACAACTTGGCGAGGGAAGCAGAGCTGTTACACTGGAGAAGCCTTTCCCTGAAGCAGAGCTGTAAGCTGCTATGCTTACTGTGACCTATGGTGTTACTTGGCTCCCGAGCTCCAGGATACCTTTCCACCTGAGCTGTAACACTCAGTATTCTGTGACTCCGAGTGCCAGAAGAATAATTTTCTAGCTGATCCACCCTGAAGGCTTGCAGACAGTAGCAGGTAGAGGTAAGGCATGAAAATGGGAGCAGAGACTAGGGAGCCTGGAGAAAGACATAGCTAAAGGGGAGCAGGTAAGCCAAATGGAGCAGGGAGAGGAAACACAGAAAAGGGAACTAGGGAGGGGAAGCTGGGCAGGAAAGGTGTAAAAGGGGGGGCAGAGGAAGGACATTGTTATGATATACTTTGGGTGGTTAGACCTTGTAGGATCCCGTGGCTGAACAAACATGCCTGGCAGATAGGTTACTTGGGAAGCTTTACTGGGAAAGGGAAGGGAGTAAGGGAAGGAAAGAGAGGGGGAGGAAGACAGGCAGACAGAGATCCAGTTGCCTCAGAGAAAGCAAGACTGGGTGGAGCTTGTCTCTTCAAGGGACCTTTGCACCTGCTACAGAGCCAGCGTACAGCCTTCCATGAACACAAGGGTGATACACACTGCCGGGTGCCCAAGGGGCATGGTAATGTTTCCTGGATGATAGCAGACATAGCAAAAAGGGAAGCAGGGAGGGGGGACTGTGGAGGAAAGGTGGCTGGCGAAAAGGGGAGCAGGGAGGGACAGGGGAGCAGGGAGGGGGACAGGCAGAGGTGAGGCATGAAACGGGAAGCATAGAGGGTTCAGGGAGAGGAACAGGGAGAAGAGAGGTAGAAAGGGGGAAGTAGGAAGGGGAGGGGCAGCTGCAGAGGAAAGGTGCAGGGGGGAGGGAGGAGGAAAAAGGGGAACAGAGTGGGGGATGGGAGCAGGAAGAAGAAGGAGTAAAGGGGGCAGGGAGGGAGAGGGGCAGGGGAGGGAAGGTACAAAAAGGGGAGTGCATAAGGCTTGAAAAGAGGAGTAGGGAGGGGGAGGGGAGCAAGGAGAGGAAAGGGGCTCAAAAGGGGTATGTACATGGCGGGTATGGGTGCAGGGAGATGATACAAAGGAGGGAGCAGGGAAGGGGGTGAAAGGGACATAAAGGGGCACAGGGAAGGTATGGCAGCATGGAGTAAAAGCTAAAATGGGAGTAGGGAGGGGGAGGGAGCTGGAAGGGAATGGCGCGAAAAGGGGAGCATGGAGGGGGATGGGAACAGGAATTGGAAATTTGCAAAACGGGGAACAGGGTCAGAAAGTAGGGCAGGGAGAGGAAAGGTGCAAAAAAAAAAAAAAAAAAAAAAAAAAAAAAAGGTAGGTAGGGAAGAAGGATGAGGCATGGTCGAGGGGAATGGTAGGAGGGTGCTAAGAACAGGTCCAGGTCCGAGAAGACGAGGAGGGGATGAGAGACAGGAATGGCGCTGAGGAATGAACTCAGCTTTGAGGTGGGCTTTACTATGGATGAGGTTAATAATATACCTAACCTGAATCCAGAGTAAAGGCCATGGGTAACTTACAGGTACAGGTTCCTAAGTCAACGAGGCGGGTAGCCGCTGCTGCTCCCTCTTCCATGGGCATCTCATCTTCTGCCCTGTCCCCTTCTGCTTCCTCCACCTGGTTCTGCAGTTCTTCCTCATCCTCGATGTCCTCGAACTCGAAGTCATCGTCCTCCATGTAGTCATCCGCCTCATCGATACTGGACATACTCCTGCTTTGCTTGGCTATCCAGGCCACATCTCTTTCATACTCCTCCTCAAAAATGGCATTTGTGATTAACTGGAATGCCAGAAAACCTGTAGTGGAGGCAATTAAGATCAGCCACTCCAAAGACAACCGAATTTCTTCCAGGGAGTACCGGTCCAATAAACGGCATCTATTTCCATCATCTTCACCATTTGAACCACAATGGCCCTGGTCTGGTTTCTTTTTATCGGACATTGTACAAGAGACACAAGCCGGAAGCTCTCCCAAGTAAAGACTGCAGTGAGTCACGGGATGGCGGATCACTTACTAGATCTGCACAGGGCACCAATGGCACATTGCATGCTGGGAGAAGTGAAGGAGGGGGCCTCTCATGGGAGGCATTCCATTCTCGTGAGTCTGCACGGGGAGCGCTGAGTGAACCAGGACTACTTTCTCACGTGGAAGGGTACAAAACAAATCAAAGTATATGCTAGAGTTGTGGATGGAACTTGCAAAGGGTCCTATTATGGCTCGTGACCCTCCGTGAGACTGTTAAGCTCATTTAGTAAGAAATAAGCCTCCGCAAGGCTCGCCTACCCAATGAGTAATCAGCATCTTCACAATTCTAGTGTTTCTAGGGGCTTAAAGTTCTTTTCACTCTCCCATGGCAATAGAACTACTGTATATTGTTTCCGTATACCAGATTCTTTTGTACAGACACTAGCGTGTCTCCCCAAGTCATCTAAGGACAGCTTATACCAAGAGGGACACAAGCTTTTAACATGTTACTAACAATTCCCAAACTTCACACCCAAAAGGGAATTCCGTTTGGATGTTTTATCAGTATTAAAACTGTTCATGACCATCACTCGGCAAAACTTGTGGCGCTGAACACGGTCTGCCACTCGAGACACCAGGGCTGCTGCAAAGGATTCCTGATCCAGTCTCGCCCTTCACTTCCACCAGCTTCGGCCACATAAGTCATGTAGGTAGGGTGGAGTCTTTCAAGTAGTTGGACACAGCAGGAGAGGTGCACAGGTCAGGAGATTGCAAGAGGCACGGGGGTGGGGGGTGGGGGGCATGTGAGTGGTCTGCAGGGGCTTGTCATCTCTGCAGTGTGGATGCATGCTATTGACATTGGTTGGAGGGGGCTCCATTCAAGGAATCCAATTTCAAATATGAGCACCAAAAAGTCAAGGTCAAATTTGTAATTGTGGACTCTTTAGCTCCCAGGACACAAATGGCCTTAGATTTGAGGGTTTGCATTTACATTGTTGGATTGTGGGTGTCAGAGGACATAAGGCTTTCTTTCTTTTTTCTTTTCTTTTTTTTTTTTTTAACTATTCTCACCTTACACAAATTCGTAAAAACTATACATTTATGAGGTACTATGTTTAGTATAGTAGATGTATACATGTTGTCTCTCAAACACAATGTCTAGGTTTTAAGTATGTGTGTCCAGATTTCCCTACTAGTTAGAGGTGCCTGGCATCTCCAGGGGGAAAAGGTCTCTTCCCTGGAACATTGTTTACCACACAGTCTCCCAGGAACATTTATTCCCCCAGGGGCTGTGTAAAGCACCTCCTTTTGTTGGTATTTGAAGGGATCCACTTCTGAGTTTGCTCTTATTTTGCTGTCTATTTTATGTATCTCCATTATGGTATATATTAATTAATTTATTTATTTATTTTACTTTTGGCTCGTTTCAAGCTCAGGTTATTATTTTGCTTTCTCATTGTTAAGAGTTTTTATTTGGAGATAGCCATCTGCCATGCACTCCTCTTAGCACGGTTGCAATTAGCCAAGAATGGCCTCATACTCACTGGTAGTCTCAAATTCCTGATCCTCCTGGCTTCATCTCCCAAGGGCTGGGATTACAGGCATGCAAACTTTGAAAAGCTGGAATTCTTGACTTTTTTTATAAATGTATAAATGCATTTATTATTTTAGCATAAGTGAGACAAATTTTAAAAATAGATTTTATAAAAGTAGAAAAGTGCATATCTTTATGGTTTGCTCCAAATGGCATATCATTTGCTTGCATAATCTTTATTGAGTTGTCCACTTTTTAAACACGGTTACTTACAGTTATTAGTTTACCCCTGAATTCCACAAATGGGGATAAGTTGTATTTTTTATTATTTCCAATCCATTTTAAAATTTTATTTTCAATTCCATCTTTTACCTCCTGTCGATTAATTTTTGTATGCTTGTGTCTAGGGCCAGGGAAATAAACCTAACATTAGGGGTGAGCCTGAAGCATGGGTCTGTGTATACTGATACTTGAGACTGACCTAGAGCTTGGAGTTACAAGCCTGACTTGGTGCTGAATTGAGCTAGAATTTGTAACCTCTCGATCTGGCCAGACTCTGAGTTCCCAGGCACCTGCCTGATGATTCAGATGTAGGATTCAACCTGGAAATAATTCAAGCCTTTACAGGTCCAAAGAATAAAACAGTATGTAGGTCCTTCGACTACAAATGGCTTGGGCCAACAAGAGACTGCAACATGAGTGTGTGGATACTGTCCTAATATTGTGGATGGCTTGACAACTAAGACTTCTGCAGTTCTGAACTTAGTGGTTCTAGAGTTGCCTGGGAAGTATGGCTGCTCAGAGACCAATATGTTGGGTAAACCTAGAACCCGGAGCTGCAAGATGAGGCTTGGTATGAGATGGTGTTGTGGGCTTAGTATACAAGTAAAAATCTAGATTCTGAGACCATGAGATAGATCTTATTGGGCTTTCCCTGTGGTCATTTCCTGTATAAAGTTTGATGGTTATTTCTCTCACCTTAGACAAATAATGTGGTGCCTGGGGCTATGGGATAAGTGATGCTCAGAATGCAAATCTGTTGCCTTTACCATGCCCTCTTTCTTATTTCTTTGCTATACCAGGAACTGTAATCTCTCAGCTGTTTTTCTTTGCCCCTGTGAAGCTACTTTCCATGGATAAATAGTTCATGGTGTTTCTGCCATGGGCTTACCTTGACAGGTCCTGTTCCACCATATTGCCATGTCTGTCTATATTCTAAGTGTCTGTTATTTCTTTTTCTTCTTCCATATCTGTTGTTGAAACTCTGAAGTACAATATTTTTTATGGTGGGAAAATATCTTTTTTAATTTTTGAAATTATAATTATATCACTTACCCCTTCTTCCCTCCAGCCATCCCCCTGCAATACCACCACCCCTGCCTTGTACATTCTCAAGTCCATGGTCTTTATTTCTTTAAGTAAAACTACATCATGGAATCTGGAGTAGAGTTTTGGGTAGAAGGTGACAGGAGGAGCCATCACATTCAGAATTTACAGGAAAAAACTTCAGGTTTTCAGTACTAAGTATGGGAAAACTTGTGAGAAAGGCATCTGTGCCTTTTGGAAGTTACCTCTCTTCAACACTCAGTCTGTTGTGTGGGTTCATTTTGGAAAGTGGTTTGGTTTGTATTGTTTTGAATTTCTGAGATCAATGTGTGTGTGTGTGTGTGTGTGTGTGTGTGTGTGTGTGTGCGAGCTGTAGACCAGATGTCATTCTTCAGGAGCCACATACCTTGTTTTTTGTTTTTTTTTTTTTTTTGAGACATGGTCTCTCACTGGCCTGAATTCCCCAGTGCAGCAACTCCGAATATGTGTATGTACACTTTGCTTTGTCATCGGCCCTGTCTGGATAGACCTTAGGTTGCCATGCTTATGAAACTAGCACTTTATCCACTGAACCATCTTCTTAGCCCAAATTTCACTTTTTAGAAAAGATTTATGTTTTTTAGGTTCTAATCAGGGGTGCATGTATGTCCGTATATGCACATGTGTGAGCATGTCAGGAGTTAGGAAGAGAACATCCCTTGGAACTGGAGTTACAGTGGTTTGAAAGTGACCTGACATTGGTGGCAGGAAATGAACTCAGGTCCTCTTCTAGAGATGTGCTGATTCTGAACCTCGGAGTAGTTCCTTAGCCTGAAATTTTACTTTTCTTGTTATAGTGTATCCTCATCCTTAGTGTTCAGATTACTTTGGGTAATGTTTTGCTCTCTTTTAGTATTTGTATTTACCATGCATTTCCATCTGCATTTCTTTTCATGCTATATTTTTATCTGTATTTGTTATGCATATAATGGAGTATGTGTTGGGAAGGATTTTTCCTTACCCACTTTTAGGAGGTTTTATTTTAAAGATGGCTATTAATGTACTATGGAGAGAAGCAATCACACCATCTGGGTTGCTTTTTTTTTTTTTTTTTTTTTTTTTTTTTTGCTAGTAATTCAATCTCTTGTTAGGTTTTCCATGTCTTTTTGAGTTGATCTAGCACATTTTGTCTTCCAAGCATTGGTTTGTATATTTCACAGGTTATATAATTTGTTGACATACAGTTGGTTCAAAGTATTGCATTATATTCATTTTAAACTTTTGTTTAGTCAATTAGATGTACTGACTAAACCCGGTGTCTCAAGATGACTAAACAAGCATACTTCAAAAAGATGTAATTCTTGACCCCTCCAACTCCTTTTGTGTCTCTCCTTCATTCTCAAATTGCTAACTTCTTTAATTATTATTGTTACATGTATGTATGTATATGATGCACAGATATCTAAATACAACCTGTTGAGTTTGTTTGTTATTTGTATGTATATGGTTTCAGGGTTGACTACTTTGTATTGTACAACCAATTAGAAGGCTCATTCCTGGGAGAGACTAATTCTCCCTCTCTCTGTAGTTGTTAGATGACTGTAGTTCTTTTTCTTGGGCTGGGGCCCCATGAGAGCCCCCTCCCCTTTTGTGTTAACATGTCTGTTGATATTGCCAATGTGTGAGTCTTGTTTATACAGCCATTTCTAGATAAGACAGTCACAGAAGACTTCCTGGTATTCTGGCTCCTAAAATCTTTCTGATCCTACTTTTGTAATATTCCCTGAGCAATAGGTATGGGAGCTGTGCTGTAGATGTATCCATTGGAACTGGGCATTTCACAATCTGTTTAATTTTGACCAGCTGTGGTTTTCTGTTGTGGTCCTTGACTTTGGCAAAGTTCATCTCCTTTGGTGAGGGGTAAGGACACTATTAGAGTGCTGTTAGGAATTGATGCTGCTTTAGTAAACTGGTAGTAGTTGGTTCACCTCTAAGGTCCATGATTTCACCAACCCCAGGCAATTGGGTGAGTATGCCCTATTGTTTTTGAGGCAGCTTTTCTCAAATCAAACCTAGGGTCCCTGCTTTGACTAGGCTGCTATGTCAGTGAGCCCCATAAATTAGCCTGTGTCTAACTTGTGGCACTTAGATTAAAAGTGTGTCTTACCATGCCT